AGGGTGAGGGGCTGTGGGAGGAAGTAACTGGGAGCAGCTATGCTTTGCAGGAGTCCCAGGTGTTGCATGTGTGTTTCCCCTCCTTCCTGACTCTGAGCCTGAGTTCTGTGCTTCCAAAGTCAGACTGGATGCCTGCCGATACTCAGGGAATCCCTTGGGATGACATTGCCACCTCTGGCCTGTTTGGGGCTGTGGGTGAGTTTTCTTTCTCTCAGAACTTGCTGTCCTCATTGGTATGGAAAGTGAGGGCGTCAGCCTGTCAGTTGTTTTGTGGCCAAGGCTGGAGGCTGACTATCCTCATTGCTTTGGTGGAAGATTGCTGGCGTGTCTATTCCTTCCTTGGGTCCTGGTCATGTCTCTAGGTGGAGTGCAGATGGGGTTGGACTTATGTAGGCATCTTAGTAGCACAGATAAGGGCTCACAGATGTGGACCCTTTGAGTATAGTGGTAATTAGGCCCCCAGCTACCCAAAAGTTGAGAGATTCAAGTAGTTAATGTGGAGGTGAGAATAGGGCAGTCTGGGGGTGTGTGTAGCCCCACACCACGGCAGCTTGCAGGTGACATGTGTGGGCCAGGAGATGGGGAAAGGTACCATGTGTATCCATGTGCTGGAGAAACTCAGGGCTGCTGAGATCTGCTGGTTAGCTGGGTGTGTGTAGCCATTCCCAGGGACCCTTGTTAGCTGGGGATCAGATGCCAGGACCCCCTCTTGACCACCATGACTCCAGCCAAGTGAGGGTCTTGGTTACTGTTCCTGGTGCCTACTCCACAGAGCCAGCCTTGTCAGTGTCAGGAAGCCCCAAGAATCCAGCCTGCTGCCAGCCTCATGTTAGAGCCAAGGGGCGGCCCTGAAGAAGGGAGTTCATGCACCCAAGATTAAAAGTAGGACTGAGCCCCAAACCCAGGGCCTCTTGGCCCTGAGCTCTGTGTCCTATACCAACTGCCAATCCCACAGGAACAAGAAAGAAATCCCATGAGAATCAAACAGCTTGAGTCAAGTTCTAAGAAGACAGGCCATCATGGTTTGAAGGGGTTAGGGCTTATTTCTCACAAGCAGCAGTACTGACCCCAGGGGAAGCATGTAGCCCTTAGGCAGTTCCTTGTGTGGGGAACACCCTTCCCATCTAATGGTTTCTCTCTAGAAGAGCACTAAGCGCACTTGACCAACAAAACCAGGTGACCCCCATTCCTTATGATGCCTCAGGTAAGGCTCTGAGGGAGAAACAGAATGAGCCCAAAGGCTGTTACACCAGTAATGGGAAGACAGGGTCTGATCTGAGCTGGGCCTATAGGCCACGACTACAGAGGGTAGAAGGGAAGATGCTGAGGGCCTGAAGAGAGGATTCCAGGGACCTGGGAAGAAAAAGGCAAGTGGAGTGTTAGAAGAATCTGAGTACCCAAGAGTACCCGTCTGCCCCTCTTCCTTGCCAGTCAGTGGCTGTGGTGGCAGGAGCACAGATCAGTGCAGGGTCAGGACAGGCCCCAAAGACTGTTTTAAGGCCAGGACTTGGGAGTGGGGTGTGCCCCAGCCCTGGGAGACACTATGGAAAGTCCCACAGTATGGAGGACAAGGAGGAAGGAAACAGGATTCCACTAGCTTCATTTTCCTTTTCCCATTTTACAGACCAGGAACATTGAGAGGGCTTGGCTGGCTCAGGATCACACAGCCAGGGAGCTCATGGCCGAGCTGGAGGCCAAACTGCTTCCAGAGCTTATGTGATTTCTACACCACAGATTAGACTGGGTCCAGCGTAAGAATGGCAGGGTGTACACCTTAGGTAATGCCCAGGGAAGCTTGGGCAGAGTAGATGGGGGCATGGTTGAATGTCCCCACCCCAAGAAAGGACATTTTAGAAATAAAAATACCTCAGAAACCAACACCTGCTGGCACATGTATCGTGTGGCCCAGGTCCCTTCCTTCCCTAGTGACCTTGGTGCCTGGTATTTGGATCTTTGGAGTACAGCAGCAGGAGTCCACATGTCCCTTGAAGAGTCTGAGTTAACATAACTTAGCCCTGACCTCAGCTGGTATTAGTTCCAGGGAAATAACTTTTTTGTGTGTGTGAGACAGAGTCTCACTCTTTGGCCTGGGTAGAGTGCCGTGACATCATAGCTCACAGCAACCTCAAACTCTTTGGCTTGAGCAATCCTCTTGCCTCATCCTCCCAAGTAGTTGGGACTACAAGTGCCTACCACAAAAAACTGTGTGTCTGGTTTTTCTGTTTTTAGTACAGATGGGGTCTCATTCTTGCTCAGGTTGGTCTTAAGCTCTGGAGCTCCAGCAAACTCCCCACCTTGATCTCCCAGAGTGCTAGGATTACAGACCTGAGCCACCTCAACTGGCCAGTTCCAGGGAAATAACTTATACTTCTTAGGAGTAAGCAGGGCTGATCCTGACTGTAGGGAGACTGAGGAGAGCCCCCAAGAGGGTCAGGAGCTGCTCTTCCTCCCAGGAAGCTGCACCCTAAAGAAGCAGCTCCTGGACCCAGGGCAGTCCTGGGTATAAAAAGGCCTTACAGCAGAGAGTAAGAAAGGGCTGGTAACAACAGGTGGCCATCCTTTTCCCACCTGGCTTGAGTTCCTCATTCAGTATCCTCCTGGAGATGCCCTGGCTCCTTGCAAATTGGAAGAGGTGCCCTCTCTGAGGGTGGCTGCTTTGGAATCAAGACACCACCTCACTGCCACTCAAGTCCACTGACCATGTTTCGTCCCCCTGCCACCAGACAGGATTCAAGGAGAAAGAACATACAGGACCAAGGACAGCTCATTTGAGTCCCAGAAGTAGTAATTCAGACCTCTGCCCTCAGAAATGTTCTCATGTCCTCACCTGCAGTGATCAATAAAGTGGTCACATCCTGGGGAGAGAGCAAGGAGGTACTACTGAGATAGCAACAGGACCAAGATACAGACCCCAGAGGAAGTGTCATCTCCCCAGGCACTATTCTAGTTCGTGCCTGGGAAACTCATTGGGGAATAGAACTTCACAGATGTGAAATGGGAGCCTTAAGCACCACTGTCATCAGGGAAAAATGCTCAGAGCTCTCTTGTCCAAAGTTGGGAGGGCTGGAGTAGATGAACTGGTTGAATCCACTTTGTCACTGGGGCAACCCTGCTTCCTCCAGGCAGGACTAAAAATCCCTGACAGTGTTCAGCACTGGCACTAGCTTGAAGTCTACACTCACTCACCAAGGCCACAAAGTGAGTCAGTGACCAGGGCTTTGGTCATTCCTCAGATGCTCTTCCTGTTTCACCTTATGCCATCCCTGGTCCAGCTGGCTGGGAACTAGCAGTTGCTTCTCAGTACATGGGACCACAGCAGTGGCTCAGCATGACCTTTGTTATTCCACATACAGATTTACTGCCCAGCAGTGACCTACTCGGACCAACCACTCTGACTTTAAAGCTGAGCACATGTGAATTTACTATACTTTTCACTTTTTCTGTTTGAAATTTTCATCGAAAACAATCTTTAAATGTCAGAGTTTCCCCCCAAATTAAAGGGCCACATAAATTCTCACTGAAGCCTTGAAATATTTTTCTAATTCCTGGTTTCAAATGAAGTTTTTAGAGTTATAGGCAAACACATGCCTAGGAGAGGCTTAAAAAGGTCTTATTTCTTAGGCTGGGTACGGTGGCTCATGCCTTGTAATCCTAGCACTCTAGAAGGCCAAGACAGGCAGATCACTTGAGTTCAAACCATCCTGAGCAAGAGCGAGACCCCATCTTTAAAACATAGCTGTTGTTGTGGTAAGCTCCTGTAGTCCCAGCTACTTGAGAGGCTGAGGCAAGGGGGATCACTTGAGCCCCAGAGTTTGAGGTTGCTGTAAGCTATGACATCACAGCATTTATCCAGGGTGACAAAGTGAGACTCTGTCTCAAAAAAAAAAAAAAGTCTTAATTTCTTTTACATCAGGGCATCAGAAATGTCTCCTAGGAACTAAGAAAAATAGCAGATGGACCTGACTTATCTGAGAGGTCCTCTGGATCCAGAAGCCACCAGACCCTCACAGTGCAACTGGCTCCAGAGTCAATGAATGGGAAAGCAACACTTGGGACTGCACTATCCACTACCACCCAACAGCACAAAGAAAAATCCACCAGAACTGCTTCTTCTGTATAAACACAAGTACATAGTATTTATTTGAAATTCCAATTTATTACAAGTTCACCCTTTAATGCCGCTCTTCCTCCTTAGAGACAATTTTAAAAACAAACAATTCAGGTGTCACTGAAGTAGGAACATAGGAATCTCACTATTAACAAGAGCAGACTGGAGAAAAGGCAGGAGAGGATGGTGGTGGCTGGAATCACGAAATTGTAATGTCCATGCTAACTGCATGCCTGTAGAAAAGATGGTAAACCTACCCACCAGCCACTGGAGCAAATCCCCAAAGTCAATGAATGAGGAAAGGGAGAGACAGGGACCACACCTCGCAGTTTAATATTAAGAAGTTTTATTCTCAAGTTCTAAGAGTTCCAATCTCCTCAGTGGACTTCTTTTCCTTTAATTTAAACAGGTACAGAATAGCTTAGGTACTCACATTTTCCAAATTCAAAGTTGATAGAAAATAAAATTAAACCCTGTTTTGTATTTTTATCAAAATCTGCCATAAAAGGGAAAAACTACAAAGTTTTGCCTAAATATAACTAGTGCTAGACTTGTGGGAAAGGGTACTCAGAGCTTCTTTCCTGCTCCCTCCTCCCACCCCTACTGACACTGACCACTGAAATATCCAGGTTCTCAAGGAGTTCCACGTATGAGGCCAGAATAGGCATGGGAGGAGACCAATACAGATGGAGGAGGCAGAAACAGCCACCATGGCAGAAGGAAGGTACACCCCACCTCCTCCAAGAGATGCCACTGCTTGCTGTAATGAGCCTCCAACCCAGCTTCTCTGCAGGAAAGTGGATGGGCTGGGGAAGAGGATGGGGGAAAGTAAAGCAAACACGTTATCATATAAACTGTACTGTACATGTGCCAAAGCAAGATGACAAGAATATCTTACAAGATGTTCTTTATACAATATCACTGCTGAAACAAGCAAATTTTAATAACTAGAAAAGTCAATTTAAAAAAAAAATTAAACATTTAAATTCTTCCTGCTTTTCTTCTGCTCCCCTAAGAGCTTGTCTGGTATGTGGGTGGGCTGGGCTCCAACACCCCTCTGGCCAGATCCAAAGTCAAGGTTATATGCATGATTATAAGCAGGACTCCAGTCTCTAAATGAAGTGCCTTAGGATTTTTTTTTAGGGAGTGAGGTGAAATATAAGTTGGGGGAGGGTTGTTACAAAGAAGGGGAGGGATATTCAGGAATGGGTCCAGGAAATGTCCCTTTACTCTGCCAAGATAACTGAAAAGACCACAACTGTTTCATGATGCTGGTGAATACAAAATTCTCTATGGCACTCACTGATACTGTCACCTGAGAGGGAGAGGGAGTAAGAGACAGAGTATGGGCTTAAAGAAACAAAACTGTATATAAATACAGATTAAAAAAAAAAAAGTGGACACCACCTCCCCCAATTGGCCTGATTACCCTTGATCCTGCAATGTAACATAGCAATCCCCACTCCTGGAGACCAGAAGGGCTTGGCACTATTGTGGGAGCCAGAGGAGGAGGGACCCTAGGAAAGAAGGAACAGGAACTGGGTACACCAGAAAAGCTATACCCTTGGACTCTTGATGGAAACTCAAAGGCGGGAGAGTTACGGGCTTCTTCTGCCCACAATATTTCTGGGCAGAGACCACCAATCCAATCAGGCTCCCCAAAAAGCTTTGCTTGGATGAGGCCCTGTAGGGAGTTTTAAGAAACAGCACAAGCTTGGGGTGACTGTCATTTCTGGGCTCCCTGTGATCTCTTCCCTTCCAAGTTCTCAATCTTCCTCTCTTGCCTCCCTCCCACCCTCCCTCACTGTGTCCTGATATTCCCCCTACTTCAGCTCCCTTACCAGGGCCCTGCCTCTCTATTTCTTCTGTCTTCGTCCCCTGGACTGTCCAATGGGCTCTGGCTCACTGTCCCCTTCATCTTCAGCAAGTCGATCGGGAAACTTCTTACGTTTCCTACGGACATATGGGTGGCCAGGAAGGTGTTTATGTAACAGAGCCACTAGACACTGTTCTGTCTTCACCATGCAGTTTAGCACATGGCTGCCACGGCAGTTGTAAAGCTCAGCATTGGTAAACACTTGCTTCATGTCAGTAAGAAACTCCTGCACAGAGCGGTAGCTCCCACAGGAACATTTGTTCTGCACTGTCTGAAAGTCCATGGGCTGGGTAATCACATCATAGTAGTCCTCAGCCTCATCTCTGGTCACAGGCTCCCTGTGGAGAACCAAATGGAGTTATGCCCAACTGAGACTTAACCACAACCGAGAAACCTGAATGTCAAACAACCAGCCCCAGATACCTTCGCCTGCTGCAACCGGCTAACTGGCAAACACAGAGAAGGTGTGTTCAGCTGAAAGCTGTCACTACCAGTTTGGGAGCTCACCTGAAGGGCCAGCTGAAACGGTACTTCACAATCTTGTGGAGGATCTCTTCACACTTCTGTAGCTCCAGGCTTTGTCTCCGGGAGCTCCGCTTGGTCTGAAGTACCTGGTGCCAAAGAAAGAGAATATTATGTGTACAAGAGAAGAAGAGTGAACAAGGCAGAAAATGTATGTATTACTCAAAGAAAAGAAAAAAGAAAAAAAAGACAAAGCAAGTTAACTGTTTTCTTGGAGCAGAAATGGTCAAGTTGCCTGACATTCAAATTAGGGAGCACTCTTGACCCAGGAGGCAGGTATCTTTCCATCTGCACACTTGCCTCCTCTCTGGTGGACAGTGATCAAAGCAGCAAAGGGCAGTCAGCAGTTACCTTTTTAACAGCAGCCCTACTATAGGTTACCTGGAGAAGACCACAAACCAAAGACCACAAAAAGTATGTGTTAACAGGACACTAGCCCTCTGAGAAGAGAGGGACCTGGGATTACAGTGATGCTATGGATGGGCATCAACAAGCAACTGCAGAGAGCCAGGCAGGCTATCTGGACCACCAGCAAATTCTGTGGGGGTAGGGTGTCTCTGGGAAGAATAACAATTCCCTTCCTGGAACTGCAGACACATGGGAGCTAAATGATGAAGTGAAAAGGGGTGAGGCCCTCCCTTCCAGGTAGCCATACAAAACTGTGACTCACAGTAACAGGAGCCACAAAATAGGTTATGGACTGGGCAAACAGAAGCCTCTTTTAATGCTTCCTCATCTCCCCTAATGGCTTGCTTTATGCCCCTAACCCCAATATCATCTGTCAAAACAAGTACATTTTCAAAAAAAATTTTTTTGTTCTTGAAAAGCTCAAGTGAGATCCCACACAAAACTACATTGGTTAAGGAGTGTGTGTTTATGTGTGTGTGTGTGGGGGGGGGGGGTGGAGGAGGAACATAATGTCCCTCCCCTTAACAACTGTCAACCCAACAGTAAGTGAGGCTCCAACATTGCTGACATTCCCACAATGAAGACCCAGCCCCTTTGAGCCCACTGGTGACACATGGATACTATTTTAAAATTCTTAATAAGTTGCAGCCTGCCTTATTAGAGGCAGACAATGTTTGCAAGCTACATCAGGGGAATGCCGAACATAGCTGTTCCTGGAGGGCCTGCTGCCTCTGTCTGCCTACAAGCCCACCCATTTGCCTCAGCAGCCTCCCAAGTTAGGGAGGAGGAAGGAGGGGGAGCTCCCACCTGTTGCCTGATGAATTCCTAATGCTGGAGTAGGGGGTGGGGAATAAGGAACAGAAAGGTTAGAGGGAGGCTGATAAATAATTCTTACCAGCTCATCAACCTCAGTGTCATCCACAGGTAGTGCCTTTGGCCGAGATCTCCTGGTAGGATGTGGCTTCTTACTGGGTCGGCGGCCTGGCCTTACTGTAGGAAGGATTACACTCTGCTTGGCCCGGAGGGTTTTTCGAGGTCTCACTGAAACAAACACACACAATAGAGCAACTGAAGATCAAGGCAGAATCTTTGGAATGGGGGAAAGGGATGGGGAGAAAATCTGGACAAGGAAATCAATGGCTTCCTTTGGTTATAAGATGCTCTTGTTGTTTTCCTCCTGCCCTAGGTAATAGGACATTAGAAGGAAGCGATGGTAGATGAAAATGGATACCTTTTATTAACTGCCAAAGATCTTTCAGAAGACCAGTTTACTTAAGTACTTCTATCCTCTTTCCCCACTCTGCAGTTACTCCAGCAATGAGGCACTTGAAAGAAATCAATTATAAATTGATTCTGGAGGGGCGACACCTGTGGCTCACTGAGTATGGCGCCGGCCCCACATACCCAGGGTGGTGGGTTCAAACCTGGCCCTGGCCAAACTGCAACAATAAATAAATAAATAAAAAGTATGTATTTAAAAAAATTTAAAAAAAAATTGGTTCTGGAATAGAAGCCATTTGCTAACAGATCAGCTTCGAATGCTTACATTTTCAGCCTGAGAGATTGTATATACTTACATAGGAGATGAAATATGATTATAAAACATACCCTGTTTCTTAACCCCTGGAGTTACCATCATAATCTTTTCAGAGAAAAGTGAAGGGCCACTAAAGTTCCTCACTGAATCCTACTTAGGGCTTCCTGCCTTCTTCTATTTCTGAAAACCAAAGACAGTAGCCTTTTCATGAGGCTGGCCCACAAAGACCTGCAGCTAATTAAGCCAACCACTCTCCCTTCCTCATGGGGGCCTGGTGTGCAATGCCTGTGAACAGTAGCTTCCTTGGTAGTCTAGGCAGCCTGTTGCTTATGTGGGTTGCTCTAAGGGACCTTGGACACATTCCTTTCTGACACACATTCATGTTAGACCTTGTGCTATCCCCAATCTAAGCTCCAGAGAGGTATGCATGGTGCCTTTGGAAAGCCTCAGGGCACTGTAGCCAGGGTTCACATTGGCCAAGTCATCATGTCCATATGTACCAAACTACAGAACAAGGAGCATATATGACTGAGGCCCTGTGCTGGACCAAGTTCAAGTTTCCTGGCCACCAGAAGATTCGTATCTCCAAGAAGTGAGGCTTTACCAAGTTTAATGCAGATAAATTTGAAGTCACGGTGGCTGAGCAGTGGCTCATCCCAGATGGCTGTGGGGTCAAATAATCCCCAATTGTGGCCCCTTAGACAAGTGGTGGATCCTGTACTTAAAGGGACTTCCACTGTGCTGCCCCCTCATTTGTGCCTACCAAGAAGTCCTATTTCCTGTCAAAAAAAAAAAAAAACAAAGACCCAGAGACTACTTAAGTCTCAGTTTATAATAGGTGCTCAATGTCTAGTAAACCAACATTCCTCAGAGAGCAACGCTCCTTAAGGATTAGCTCAAGGCTTCTCCACCTTTCCTTGCCCAATACCCTGAATGTTGGAGAGATAATAGATCTACCAGTACAGAGAGGCAGTGATACAAAGAATTAATAAATGATGCTTTATACTCTATTTCTGAACTATGATAACTTCCTTGGCTATTTGGGGGTCGCTAGCTCAAGAGTAGGTTAATATGAAAGGATAAAAAGCTGATGCTCAGGTGCTAGTAGGCCCTTGAGTTGCACTAGGTAACCACATCTTTGGTGGTGTGAAAGGTGGAAGAGACAAAGGGCACTGAAGTAGCAAACATTTCCTAGATCCTTTTGGCAGACAGAGACCCTTGGAAACCTAGAGAGCAAACAATTCCTTCAAAAGAAAGCAACAGTGTGTTAAGTAGAAAGCAATCACTAGCTTGAAATAAACAGAATTAACACAGTGCTATATTCAGAATTGGTCCCAGACAAATGTGCACCTAATTCATGACACTGGCCAACAGAGGATAGTCTCTTGGATTGTAGGACTAAGGGATCACTTGTTCACTTATCCTGGGATACCTGAAAAATTGTGTCTAGTAAACAAAGAAAAGGAGCCCTATGAGAATGGGAGAGATTACAGTGTCTAAAATTATACCCCAAGAATATGGAGGAGGAAAATGGGAGGGAGGCCCTTAGATTTGGCAGCTTTACTGGAGTAAGGGATTGGTCATACCAGGCATCCTTTCTCTCCTTATATAAGTAAGATCATTCAGAACGTCTTATGATCCTAGGAATTATATTATCTCTTCAAAAGCTCACAGAAATCTTGATCTGTCTTCTGTTTTCTAACCTACAAAGAAAATTATATTTTGGGCTAGAGGACCTTAGCCATGAAAATGACAAGACATGAGAAAATCAGTCATTGTGAGCATAAATGATGATTACTTTTTTTCTGACTGGAATTTAGTAAGAACTGATTTGAACCATTCTATCGTGCTTACATTTAAGCCATGGAAAAAATAGTCTCCTCTTTTCAAACTAGCACAGTTAGAGCCCTGCACACTACAGGAAGGAGAAAAATCACTTTAAAGCGAGAGCAAGAGCGAGTGAACCCCAACCCCTCTCCCAACTCTCTGAAAGTAGCACTACACCAAAGGCCAGAGGACTGTCAGGAGATGGCAACAGGCCTAGATCTTCCTTACCTATCATCCCTATCTATTAAGGGTTTCAGAACCAGCACCATTGTTATAAACATACTTAAGACCTGAATTCTATATACCTAACTCTTACAGAAATCAAGTCTGCCATAGGTTGATATTCATGAGATCGAGCCATCTTCCCTCCCACCGGATAGGAGGGAAGTTAAAATCAACAGCATCTTGACATCTCATTTAAACACACAGCCACAAACTATGAAAAGGGAAGACAGCAAGATAGCCACAGTAATTACTGCCAATCCAGCCTTTCCGACCCTGTTGGAAGATTGTGAGGCTAACTACAAAGGCAAACAGAATACTCACATCGCAAACCAGCTACTTCATAATCTTCCTCCTCCTCCTCTTCTTCCTCTTCTTCCTCTGAATCACTTTCATCATCTTCACTGTCTTCAGAGGCAGACTCTTCAGTATAATTCCTGTGAGGAAAAAGGAAAAAAACAAACAAAAAAAACAGGTAGGGAACACAGTTCTAACCCAAAATGATCTAAGAAGAGCTGAAGTCCCAAAGGGATCCCAGCAACCTTCTTTTCTTCACATACTGGATAATTTTATGATAAGGGAATGGAATCTGAATCTAAGCCAGGTAAGTTTTTCACAAAATGAAAAACTAAGCTTCAACAGCATGCCTCCCTTTTATGAAGCCTCAAAAGGTTTAGACAAGATACCAATGGCAACAGAAATCAAGATCAAAATGCAACCCTACCCCTTCACACACAAAACAGTGCAAAACACTATTACTTTTTGTCTCACAAAAAGAGCCAGATAATGTAACATTTCAGATACTGAAACTGTCCCCAACTCTGGGGTAGACTGGAAGAATAAACAGAGCCCAGACAGGTGTTACTCCACCTTGATGGCCCCCTTCCAGGAGCTGAAACAGCTTGCAGATGACTGTTACATCAAAGCAATGGTAATCCCAGCTCAGAACAGCTGGTCCAAAGCCCCGCCATTTCAGAGCAACATGCCTCATCTCTTTAAGTATAGCTGGAATGGAGTGAGAAATAACCCAGTTATACCGTTGAGGTGGGGTCAGGATCAAACAGCTCTGCCCTTTTAAAAGAGAGATCAAGCCAGAGTGCCTATAAGCTGCCCTTTTACAACCTCAAATTTCAATGTGGAAAGCAACAGCATTAACTTGACAAATATTAGGTGTCTTCTCTTTATAAGGGCCTGTGTTTGGCCTTATTGAGATTCAAGTAAAGAACAAAGCATCACTTCTACTCTTAGGGCATTAATAATCTCATGGGAGATAGTAGTGTATAAAACTAACCATAAAGACAAGATGTATGAGCAAAATACTTTTTCAGGAAGTATTCGAAAGCTCAGCTGGAACATAGAGGAGACACAATTAATGCTAAGGATGTAAACACTTCTCCAAACAGCAGTGAAACTTTAGCAAGGTCAAAGGCAATTTACTCAATTGGGAGTTTTGGGTAAAGAGAATACTCTCAGCTGGGAAGAAAGCCCAAGAGGCAAAGATGAACAATGCAACCTGTAACAAGCACACACACAGAGAAAACAAGGCCCATAAAAACCTAGGCTAGTATTGTATAAGAGTCTCAAAAGTTAGCTTAGGGAATCTGAATTTTATTGTACAGGCAAAAGAAAGATTAGATTTTTTTTTTTTTTAAATTAAAGAGATGGGTCTTGCTCTGTTGCCCAGGTGGGAGACTAGAGGTGTGATAGTAGCTCACTACAACCTCAAACTTTTGAGCTCAAAGTGATCCTGCAGCCTCAGCCTTCTGAATAGCTGGGACAACAGGCACACACTATACATGGCTAATTAAAAAAAATTTTTTTTGTAGAGACAGGGTCTCTATGTTGCCTAGGCTGGTCTCAAGCGATCCTCCCACTTTGTTGGGATCACAGGGATGAGCCAAGGTGCCTGGCCAGACTGAAAAGTAAGCAGTTCCTTGCCTTATATACATTATTCTGATATCACCACAATAGCTAGATAGATAACAAGGGAAAAGATAAGACATAAGGAAGAGTTCGGACATGGTAGAAGAAGCCTAGGTGAGAGATGCAGGAGTGACAAACGACAGTAGGGACCATGAAGAATGCAGAGGAGAATGAATCATTATGTATCTGGGCACTGAACTGGTAACAGACAAATTAATGAATATGTAGAATGAAAAAGGAGAAGTTCATGTCCAAGTTGATACTAAAGTACTAATCATGATAGATAAGGAAAACAAGTATGAGTAAAGAAGGCAAAGCATTTGAAGATTTTTAGCAGTGGGTGGTTGTAGAAGTAATCGTATAGACATAGGAAGTGGATCATGTAGAGGCAAAAAGCAGAAGGAGATATGACATTACTTGAGATGATATGGTCAAGAAGACAGAAAATGTGGCTGGCAGTGAAAACGAGAAATGTCAACATTAAGCTAAAATTAGATCTAAGTCTGTTGAGCTCCTACTGAAGTATCAGAAATGATAAAGCTCTGTACCCAAAAGATGAATTTAAAGCAACTAAGAATAAGACCAGGCACAGTGGCTCACACCTATAATCCTAGCACTCCGGGAAGCTGAGGTGGGTGAACTGCTTAAGCTCAGGAGTTTGAGACCAGCCTAAGCAAGGGCAAGACTCTGTCTCTGAAACAGCTGGGCATTGTGACAGGCGCCAATAGTCCCAGCAACTTGGGAGGCTGAGGCAACTGATCTCTTGAGTTCACGAGTTTGAGGTTGCTGTGAGCTGTGACACCGCAGCACTCTACGAAAGGTGATGAAGTAAGATTCTGTCTCAAAAAAGAACAAACAAACAAATACAAACAAAAAAAAACCACTTCAGAATTATATCAGTTTAAATAACTGAAGCTTAACTGTAACAGCTATTTATTTGTTCACTTGTTTTTAAAAGAAAAAATTCTCACCTGCCACGAGAGTTACGCCTGGCAGTAGCAGGCTGGCAAGCTGGGCACTGCCACTCACCATCTGGTACTTCATAGAGGGCCGGCCTCAGACAAAACAGGTGGAAGGCTTTATTACACTCATCACACAAGATCAATTTGTCATCCTCACCTGCAAAGAGAAAAACTTGTTTACCATTGCTGGGAACACAGCAACAGTCAATGAGCTATTAAGAAAGCTGCTCATCCTTAACCAATGCCATTTAACACGTTCTACCTACTTCGGTTTTTGTAAAAAATGTAGTCATTTTCTGAAATAAATAAATAAATAAAATAAACCAGACTACAGATAACTTAGGAATCAGTTAAATCCCCAAATCTACTCAGGGCTAGGACAGGACAATTAGCATTTACTAAAAGGCAGCAAAAACCAAGTGACAGTAGGAAATTTTGCTCCTTGTCACTCATGACCCCCTCCCCACTTCAACTCATGTCTCATACAGTTCTCTTAGGTCATTTGGTTTCCAAATACACTGATCAACTTAACATGTTTAACTCCCCTCTCCAATCTTCATTCTGTATCAGTTTTATGGCAGTTCATTGATTTTATATAGACCTTTTCATTCCTGGAAATTAACCCTAACCTAACTCTTAAAATAATATTAGCCACAAAGTCAATCACTTCATGTTTTAGCCATGAAGTTCTTTTTGCACACACAAGATTTGAAAAATCTCAGCATTTACCATTTAGGACGCAGTGCTAAAATAACCAAGCCTGCCCATTCTTCAAAATGTATAAAGACTGCCCCCTTGGAACCACTATCTTACTAAAGTTATGAGATAACAAAGATTTAAATTCTTTTTTTGAGACAGAGTCTCAAGCTGTCACCCTGGGTAGAGTGCCGTAGTATCACAGTTCACAGCAACTTCCAACTCTTGGGCTTAAGCAATTCTCTTGCCTCAGCCTCCCAAAAAGCTGGGGTTGCAGGTGCCCACCACAACGCCCAGCTAGTTTTTGTTTGCAGTTGTCACTGTTGCTTAGCAGACTGGGACCGGGTTTGAACCTGCCACCGTAGGTGTATGTGGCCAGCACCCTTGCCTATGGGCACTGCCCAAGATTTAATTTTTTTTTTTTTTTTAAGGGACAGAGTCTTATTTTATCGCTCTTGGTAGAGTGCTGTAGCATCACAGCTCATAGCAACCTCCAACTCCTGGGCTTAGGCAATTCTCTTGCCTCAGCCTCCCAAGTAGCTGGGACCACAGGTACCCGCCACAATACCTGGCTATTTTTTGTTATAGTTTGGCCAGGGCCGGGTTCCAACACACCACCCTTGGTATATGGGGCTGGCACCCTAACCACTGAGTCATGGTTACTACCCAAGATTTAAAATTTGTAATTAGCTAATTCTGTTATCTGTAGAAAATGTGAAGGTTGAAAAGATCAACTGCTTTTACTTTAGACTCTAAACTGAAGAATAAAAGGCCTGCTCTGATTTGCTGGCATGTAATATCAAAAACTTTTTATAGACCTTCAGGAGAAAGTAAAATCTATCCCATCACACTTAAAATCTGTGTAATTAAAACTCTTTTAGGATAGAGATAAGTATCTTAGGAATGGAATTCCTGGTTTCTAATATAATCAGATTAGCAAATTTGATCTAAATATACCTTTCTTTCGACAAACTTTGCATCTAGCATTTTCTGCTGACATATCCCACTTGATACAAGCATCCAGCATCCCAAGTAGAACATGCATCCTAGAAAAAGTTTGAGCTTCACGGATTGCTGTCTTCCATTTTTCCAGTGCAGATGCAACCTAAACACAGACCAAACAAAAACATCACTACAATGATCTCAAGGACACAGAGAAAAGACCAGCAATAGGGAAAGAAGAGAGTTCTGAGAGCATTTGCCTCTTAAAACTTCAGTATAACCCATTTATCTTACAGGAAAAAAAAATTAAGGATCAAACAGGTTAAAAAAACTTGCCAAAGATTACACAAAGATTAAAGGGAAAGGAGGGAGAAATGACTAGGGACAGGGCTCTTCTAGTGAAATTTACATAAAGATATAGTATCATTTAAAAGTAAAAACATTTGTGTGCTGTAAATGGCTAGACTGTAACAATTTCATGTAGCTGATCAAACTTCCTTAACAAGATTATCCATTTATGTACTAATTCCTGCTAAAACCCCAGGTTATAGGGCCTAGAAATGGTATATTGTATCTATAAAAGCATTCTACAATGCTTAAAATTATTAAGTACTTAATGCACAATTAAGTTGATTTTTTTTAACTTCATTTTTATTTTATTTATTTATTTATTTTTCAGTTTTTGGCCGGGGGCTGAGATTGAACCCGCCACCTCTGGCATATAGAGCCAGCGCCCTACCCTTTTGAGCCACAGATGCTGCCCAATTAAGTTGATTTTATCACCAACTTCTAACTAAAGCAAAATTTTTAAAGTTAGCCTGACTTTATTCTGGATAATTACTCTCAGCATAACCTGTACTGCCTCTTCCCATCATCAGAAAATGCAAATTGCCAGGCTCAGTGGCTCACCCCTGTAATCCTAGCACTCCAAGAAGCCGAAGTGGATGGGCTGCTTGAACTCATGATTTCAAGACCAGCCTGAGCAAGAGCTAGACCCCATCTCTAAAAATAGCCAGGCACCGTGGCAGGTGCCTGTAGTCACAGCTACTTGGGAGGCTGAAGCAAGATAATCGCTTGAGTCCAAAAGTTTGAGGTTGTTGTGAGCTATGATGACACAGCACCACAGGAATATCAGGTGGGAATATCACTTGGCGGCACTTGACAGAAGGTGACAAAGTGAGCCTCTGTCTCCAAAAAAAAAAAAAGGGCAAAAAAGGGCAAAAAGTTAGTCCAAGCGAAACAGAATTGGGGGGAGGGGGATAATTAGGAATTTCGGTGATAAACATAATCCCTCTCCCCTATAAAATATACATTCTAAGGAGAAACAGAAATGACATTTTTTTTTCTTTTGAGACAGAGCCTCAATCTGTCACTGTGGGTAGAGTGCCAAGGTATCACAGCTCACAGCAACCTCCAGCTCCTGGGCTTAAGCAATTCTCTTGCCTCAGCCTCCCAAGTAGCTGGGACCACAGGTGCCTGCCACAACACCCAGCTATTTTTTGGTTGTAGTTGTCATTGTTGTTTGGCAGGACCGAGCTGGATTCGAACCCACCAACTCTTGTGTATGTGGCTGGCGCTTTAGCTGCTTGAGTCACAGGCAGCAAGCCAGAAATGTCATTTCAAGCTAATTCGTTTGTATGACTTTTGTTAATCAAAAGGTGATTTTTTTCCCCAATGTTTTCAAAGCCTTTCTAACTTAAACAAGTAGGTTATCTATGTAAACAATTAGGTTTCTATGTCTGGTCTCAGCCAGACAGCTGAAAGACCGGGTTTTATTAGGATCACCAATAAATAATGTAGACGTCCCATTGCTTTAGTCAGTCATGATTAAAACTAAATTAAGTTAGCAAAAACTAGCCTGGCTACTTTCACAACTCTGCTAGCTCTAGCTAACTATAATTAACTCCACAACACTATCAATCCAATACCACAGCTGGATTTCACTGCCCTTCCCTATGCAAAGAGGTCTATTTGAAATAATTTCTTTAAAGAAAAAGCCAGTTATCCTGCAAGGCCATATTTTAATAAAGCTGCCAAAGGACAAAGATAGTTGACCTAGCTCTGACCTAGCTACACATTACTGTGTGGAGTTTGGGGTAGAGGCTTGAAGAGAAATAACAAAGGTGGTCTTTTTCCTACAGAAATAGGTAATCACAGTAAAGTAATACAGAAACAGGCTCGGCACCTGTGGCTCAAGCGGCTAAGGCGCCAGCCACATACACCTAAGGTGGCGGGTTCGAAT